GTCATGGCCACCATGCCCTGTTGTTGGCCCTCCAGAGGAACTGGTTGGCCCCTCAGTGAGGCAGGGTGCTGGACTAGATGGACCACTGGTCTGATCCAGCAGGGCTCTTCTGATGTTCTTATCAGGGAAGGCCTTGGCCTCTTTGCCCTGTTGTTGGCCCTCCAGAGGAACTGGTTGGCCCCTCAGTGAGGCAGGGTGCTGGACTAGATGGACCACTGGTCTGATCCAGCAGGGCTCTTCTGATGTTCTTATCAGGGAAGGCCTTGGCCTCTTTGCCCTGTTGTTGGCCCTCCAGAGGAACTGGTTGGCCCCTCAGTGAGGCAGGGTGCTGGACTAGATGGACCACTGGTCTGATCCAGCAGGGCTCTTCTGATGTTCTTATCAGGGAAGGCCTTGGCCTCTTTGCCCTGTTGTTGGCCCTCCAGAGGAACTGGTTGGCCCCTCAGTGAGGCAGGGTGCTGGACTAGATGGACCACTGGTCTGATCCAGCAGGGCTCTTCTGATGTTCTTATCAGGGAAGGCCTTGGCCTCTTTGCCCTGTTGTTGGCCCTCCAGAGGAACTGGTTGGCCCCTCAGTGAGGCAGGGTGCTGGACTAGATGGACCACTGGGTCACACAGTGACGATCCTCGTGCTGTGGGGGCAGCTGCTGCCAAAGCAAAATTTTTGGAATCTGAACAGCCAATCAGATTTCTAATGGCCAATCAGAAGTTTGGCTGGGCAAAAGCCCCACCTGGCTGCATCCACTTTCTCAAAGCACTTGGCAGGCATCAGGAAAGGTGTTGGTGGGTGCCATGGTCAATGCTCCCTTCTAAGCTGCAGAGTCTTGTGAGCAAAAATTCTACTTTCAGCTACGGGCATTAAAGTTGTGAGCGAGCAGTTTGGCTTCTGCATCAGTTCGTTTGCTCTGGAGCCCTCCTTCCTGAGTGGAGACAAAACTGTGTGAGCCGGAGGCTAAAAAACTGTGAGCTGGCTCACACTAACTCAGCTTAGAGGGAACATTCTGGAGGGGTGGAGTCTAAAGTGTCTCTCTCTCTCACACACACACACACACACAGCAAATTGAACAAGAAGATAGATTTTGCCCGTTTGGATTACAGCCCAAGCACTTTCTCCCACAGAGAACCAGGACCCTTCTTCCATCCCTCAGGTTCCGCTCCTTGGTCACTGCCAAGGGGGACAACATTTTGGCAACTGACTTCCTCAGGCACATTGACTCCTTGTTTAAAGCCACCAACCAACCTGCCCCACAACCCTCTCTTGGCCTAAAGCGGGGGGTCCCCAACCTTTCCGAGCCAGTGGGCACCTTTGGAAATCTGACACAGGGTGGTGGGCACAACCACAAAATGGTTGCCACAGAGCCTGTCACAAAATGTCAGGGAGTGAGGTTTTGAGGTGTAGTTCTGTAGCATTTCAGTCAGAAGCTCTGTTTATATATATATAATTTTGTTATTTACAGGTCAAGATGAAGGACGATCAGTCAAACACATAAGCCGAAGAACTTACTGTTACTAATAAAAGAATAACTTACTAATTAAGATACCACTCACCACTTTTCTTAACCCTGCTATATACCCTCCCTTTTTCTGAAAATTTTAAAGCAATAAAATTCTCTCCTCTTTAGAAGAAGAAGCTCTGTTTTAACTGGGAGCCAGCCAAACTCCGTTCCTGTGCATCCTTGCCCAAAAATAGCCCTGCATCTAGCAGTATCTCTAGTGGCCAATCAGAAGCTTTGTCAGCCCCAGCCCCTTTCTAAAAACACCTGGCAGGCACCAGGAAAGGCGCCAACAGGTGCCACGGTGCCCCTAGACATCTCGTGGAGGACCCCTGGCCTAAAGGCATAGTGTTCTCAAGCCAGCCTCCAGACTGAGACATGAAAATTATACTTCGGAACAAATGGGATTTCAAGACAATAAAACGGATAGAAATAGTTGAAAAGTGAATGATGGGTTGAGAACAGAGGACTCAAATATCAGTTACAAAGTGCTAGTAACAAACAGCCAGTTGTAGGCTTGGCCTGGCGGGGACTGGGAAGGACTTGTGGGGGGCGCCTAATTTTTCCATTGTATACTCTCCTTCATTCCATTTCCTCCTCTTGACACAGGGCCCACTGCCCTGTGTCCTTCTCTCCTTCCCACTTACCAATCAACCATCTCCACCCCACCCCACCCATTTTCAGATATATTGTTTTATTTTTATGTTATCCTCACAACAATCCTGCGAGGTAGGCTAGGCTGAGAATGTGTAGCTAGCCCAAGGTCACCTGTGAACTTCTCCAGGAGAGTGGGTTTTTTAACCGGACTCGTCCGGATCCTCGTCTGAAATTCTAACCACTACATACTAAGTAGGGTGACTGCTGTTGAACCGTAGCAAGCAGCCAGGCCTGGGTAAGTCATGCAAGTAACATCGCAGCAAGAAGCCTGGTGGTTGGTGGGGCCCTGGCCCTAATGAGTCATCCCTCAAAGGCCAAAAGGGGCCTTCTCCATCCTCTTGCCTTTATTGACAAGGCTTGAAGGCTGGCGATATAGTGAAGCTGCCTAGCAACAGCCACCACGGGCACTTGTTTCTTACAACTACAGATCCCGCGTCTATAATCCACGGGGGCTTCCCTTTTTTTTTAAGATTCCATTTTTTTCTGCACACATTATGGCAGCAGCTTTCTGGTGATTCTCTTAACTTTTCTCCCTCACTCAGTTCCCGTGACAAGCTCAAAAACTGCTTGCTGCCTTCGCAGTGATTCAAAATGCTTTTTTAACGACTGGTTTTATGCCAGCTTTCTTCTCAAAAGAAGAACAAAGAGCATGTGCTCAAGGCAACCTGTATGGCCGCAGCAGAGCCAACAATAATATAGTGTACAATTTTGTTTTATAGTGGATTTTTCAAAATTCAGGGTCATTTTGTAGAAAAAGAGGTGCAGGAGCTCATTAGCATAACTTATTTGCATATGCCACACCCCCTGACATCACCGGAAGTGTGTCAGAAGGCAACACCCACCGCTCAGGCTCCACTGGACTGTTTTGGATTGCTAGCTATTGGGGGACACATGCAGAGGAGGGAGAGGGGGGGGGCCTCTGCAACTTACCTGGCTGCTTCTTGCTCCCCGTGGCCTGACTGAGGGCTGCTAGGAGTAGGGGGTGGGGCTTGTTGCATCTGCCCGCCCCCTGGGCTCCTTACTGCCGGAGCGCCGCTCCTGTGCGCTCCCGCAGGAAATGACCCCTGCTCAATATAATTATTAGATTCAAGTAGAGACCAACAAGATTTGGAGGGGTATGCATTTTCAAGAATCAAAGGTCCCTTTGTCAGATACCAAAGCTTTGACTCTTGACAGCTCCTGAACTCAAACCTACTTTTTCTACAGAAGACCAATGTGGCTAGGCAGCCTCTGAAATTACCTCTACATAATTTTGCTATCTAAGGCCGTTGTTTAGGGCTCCCTCGACCTCTTCATATCTCCAAAGCTAACCAGGGTCAGCCCTGACTAGTATCTGGAAGGGAGACCTCCAAGGAACACCAGGGTTATGATGCAGAGGCAAGCAGTGGCAAACCACCTCTCATCGTCTCTTGCCTTGGAAACCCAACCAGGTCACCATCAGTGTTCCCTCTAAACCGAGTTAGGGTGAGGTAGCTCACAGTTTGTTAGCCTCCGGCTCACACATTTTTGTCTTCGCTCAGGAAGGATTGGCTCCAGAACAAACTAATTCATGCAGCAGCCAAATCGCTCACTCACAACTTCGATGCCAGTAGAATCATAGAATGTTAGAGTTGGAAGGGACCTTGCAGGTCATCTAGTCCAACCCCCTGCGCCGTGCAGGAGGCACAGCCGAAAGATAGCCCTATGAAGTAGCTCAAAAGACTCCAGTTTAGAGGAAGCATTGGTCACCATATATCAGCCCTGACTTTACAGCACTTTCCACCCAAGCAGGTTTATTCTCAAACATCTTTTTTTTTTTGCTGATTTTGATTGTTTTATGTTCCAAGAGCAATGCAAAAAGGGGAGGCAGAATTACAAGCAATTTTGAAGTACACAAACAGATCTCAGCACTGCAGAAGAGCTGGTTCTTCTGGCTTTTTAACACACACGATAGCGGTGTACAATTAAAGATATGCCTTCTCATTTTAAAAAAAATATATCTAATTTCTCTTCCCTTGGAAATTTCTGGCAACCAGCCCAAGCCTGTGGCTATGATAGGCTCAGAAAGTAGAGCGACCAACTCAAGGCTCAAGTCAAGCAAGCTTCAGCCCCACCCGAATTGTTGTTGTTCAGTCGCACAGTCGAGTCCGCCTCTTCGTGACCCCATGGACCAGATCCCGCCAGGCCCTCCTGTCTTCTGCCGTTCTCTGAAGTTTGCTCAACTTCATGTTCCTTGCATCGATGACACTGTCTAACCATCTCACCCTTTGCCGTCCCCGTCTTCTTTGACCACCCACCCGAAGTAATCCTGAAAAAATCCAACTGCAGAACAGCCTCTGGTCAAACTGGCTCTGACCCCCCCCCCCCTTCCTTAATCGTTAAGCACACCCGAGAGCCCAAGGCACACATTCGCACGCACAAAAACTATCAGGAAGTTTCGGATTCCGACACGTGCCCCCAATAAGGAAGTGCTGCAGCCAGTACCGCACCGCGCCCAAAGGCACACTTCGGCGTTAATGGAGCGAAAGAATCAGAATATTAATTAAAAAATTCCAGCCGCAGCAGGATTCCTCTAGGCCGCGGCACACGTTGCTTGGGGGTTTTGTTCTTGGGCGCGAATCGATGCAGGGCCCGGGGAAACGTGCCTCCCCCAGGGAAGGATCGTGGTCCTCCGGAAGCGAAGGGGCTGTGGGCAGGGCTGGGCCCGGGAGGGAAGCCAGGATCCTCAGACCTTTCCCAGGGGTGCGGTGGGGGGAGGTGGTGGTTCGGGGCAGCCCCGGCCGGGAAGGGGCAGCAGGGCCCCCCGGGGGGCAGGGGGGGGGGGGGGGACTTCCTGCCTCTTTTGCTTCCTCCGGCCCCGAAAGCACTTACCGTGGACGGCCTGAGCAGACTGCGGGGCGCCGGTCCGGAGGAGCGCCGGAGAGCTCGGAGCAAACTTTCCCCTGCGCCTCCGCCAGGTGAGCGCGCGCGCAGGTGTGAGCCCTTTGGCCCAGGTATGCCGCAGAAGCACCTGCCTCTCCCGGGCGGCCGCCGCCTCCTGCCTTAACCCTTTCTGTTCTGGGCCTGCCGCCGGCCCTGGAGAGCCAGGGGAACTCGGGGAGACTGGGCAGGCGATGAAGTCTGCCTTCGGGCGAGTCTCTGCAGCTAGCATTCGCTCCACATTTTCTCAGCTGGGAGGGGAAAGTGCAGCTCAAAAACCACAGTCAGATACCCTGGGGCAACGCTCAAGTCACCCCTGGAGGGCCATAAATCTATGCAGAAGGTGCCATAAAATCCAACCATCAGAGAACTCGTGGCATTAGAGTGTGGAAGCTACCATAAAACCCGATAATCAAAGGAAAGTGAAAGCCCAGGGGACTTTCTGTTCCAACCAGGGTTTTGTAAAACAATGGAGGGAAAAGCCAATAGGGAATCAGCTTTCATTGAGGCTTTTGTGACTTGATAAAATAAGGTTTGGGAAGATTAACAAAGGGTGTGGATAAAAGAGACTCTTTAGCCTGCTTCTCCCTTAACGCTAGAACTCCCGGGACCGCCCTGAAGTGGCTGGGCAGGAGAGGCGGGGTGGATTTTGAGAAGCCCCATTGAAGGTGACTGCATAATTGACTTGTGGAACTCACTGCCACAAGAACCAGTGACCTGCACTTTTGCACACACTAAATAACACACTTTCAATCCACTTTGCAACTGGATTTGACTGTGTGAAAATGGCTAAATCCACTCGCAAGCGGTCGCTGAGGTGGATTGAAACGGCATTATTTAGCACGTGTGAAAGCAGAGTGGGTAGAGTCCCGGGTTACAATCTGCGAGATCCCGGTTTGTATCTTGAAATTCACCCTCTGGTCCTAACCTACCACCCAGGGTGGTGATCAAAGGCAGGAGGGAGAAGCCTGCACCACCCACCCTGAGCTCTTTTCAGGAAGAGGAGATCAAAAGGCAGGAGGAGAAGAGACGTGGTTCATACCCCGCCCTTCACTACCCAAAGGACTCTCAGAGAGGCTTACAATCTCCTTTCGCTTCCCTTCCCCACAGTGAGCAGGCCGGTAGCCAGGATTTCTTAATTCAGAGGGCCTTTAAATAAGTCAGGGGGCACTGATAAAATAAAATAAACTCACACTCGCAGGCAGGAGCAGGGTTATTTCCCCTATTGTGGAAGGTGGGTGGAAGTGGAAGTCAGTCACTGACTCCGAGTAACCTGAGGAGGATCCCCTCCTCCTCCTCTCATTTTCCCCGCAACCGCATTGGCTGTGTGGAGTGCAGGGAACTACGGCGAAAGTGGCGGGCTCCTGTTCGGTTCCTTATTTCTTTCTTCCTGGCTGACTTCATGCTTCCACGGTGACTTTGCCTTGGTCACACACTCCACCCGCCGCCCTGGACCCCCAGGGGGTCCAGTTCTATAGGCCCCCAACAGGTTGGCCCCATCCCCTCCATTGTTCTCTATGGTGGGAAAAAATGTTACTTTTTTCCCACCATGGAGAACAATGGAGGGGATGGGGGCAACCTGTTTGGGGCCCTGTAGAATTGGACCCCCTGCCCCAATGTTCTTGCAACTTGGTGGGTATCTTGGGGAGAGGATCCAGCAGCTACCCTGCAAGTTTGGAGCCTTTCCCTCAAACCACCTCCCCTCCAGCCCCCTAAAATATACCCTATTCTGGAGAGCCAGTTTGGTGTAGTGGTTAAGTGTGCGGACTCTAATCTGGAAGAACCGGGTTTGATTCCCCACTCCTCCACTTGCACCTGCTGATGTGACCTTGGGTCAGTCACAAGCTCTGGCACAGCTGTCCTTGAAAAAGAGCAGTTTGTGTCAGAGTTCTCTCAGCCCCACCCACCTCACAGGGTGTCTGTTGTGGGGAGGGGAA